TGCCGTTAATTAAATTTTGTAAATTTTTTTAAGAAGGTACTCATTATAGACGTATTTTTAAGCAGAATAAAGAGTTGAGTTTGCTAATTAACAAGAGGTGGGGGATCAACCGAATTTTGAAAGAAACCATTATAATTTTGAGGGGAAAATGACAAATATGTAAATATATAAATACAAATATATATATATATATAAACATATTTTAAATGGCAGGCGTTTTTATAGCTCACATTAGCCCTTTAGTTGACTTCGGGCTTCACAGAGGGAAGGTTCGTCAAAGTAGCAGTAAGTCGAAGAAGGGGAGCAGAAGAGCGATTCACAGATGTAAAAGAGGCAGACAGACACAAATGTAGAGAAAAAGGCAAGATGAGTGCTGTTAAAGGGGTTGAATATGACAAGCAGTCGGGCTATGGTAGTTAGAAGTCAGAAGTCAACTGCCGGTTAATAGACTTTTTTGCCGTATGAGTATACGTTGCCCGGGATGCACCACGTGGAGGTAAGTCTATCGCACACCCCATGACAAATATGTAAATATATATATATATATATATATATATATATACTTATATACTTCAGCTTTTTAGGTATGCAGTGAATTTGAGTAAAAATAAGTTTTTTGCCACCTACAGAGAATACTATGTCACTTGGCCATTCGATGTGATCAAGACAAGAAATTGGCACCAAGATATACTATTTATTTACTTTAGCAGCTTAGCTCAAAAGGTATTATTGCTTTAATAATTATTTTACTTCTACTATCAGCACAACCGACAATTTTAACTCATTACTGCAAGTTGAACAGTTCAAAATGTTCAAATATCTGTCCCTGTTTTAAATGCTAGATAAGGAGTTTTTTTAATTATTGGTCATTCATTAGAGAAACAAGTGACATAATTAGTCAGTCAAATTCAGTCTTTTTACTACACCGCCGGTTCCTCCTATCCGTTGAGCACTCTAATTTTAATTCCTACCCTTTCTATCGCCCACTCCATTGATTTCCTGTTATCGGAAGGTCATCAAAAGAATACCGCTTGGATTGAACTCTGAATTAAGCAAATTGGGTTGCTGCTTCCACTATTAAACATAATTGCGTCATGGCATGGTGTTCTAAATTAAAACCTTATTATCAAATTCTTGCGTTTCGTCGTGAGAGTCTATGTTTGCAGGGCTCAGAGTTACATATCCTGTTGGCTGATTTGGAAAATCGGTCGGGGTGTTTTTGACTGGGAATAAATTTCAAACATCACCAAATTCGGTAAATTTCATGTCCTTCTCTAATGGTGTCATGATGATGTTAGCTAATGACAAGGGGGTTCAAGAAATTACCCTCGCACCTCTGACATCTGGAGAAAGTATTAACTTGCGTTACTTTTCAATCGTTGATTTAATAATGCACAACCTTGCTCTAGCCTTGTTGCATACAGCTGTGCCGTATTTAAATGTGCCTGCATTTTGTTTTTTTAAAACAAATCCCATTTTAATTATTTCAGCTAATTTGGTATGGTGAATGATTTAGCAGGCTCATTAAGGGGCAACTTACAGCTTTAAGGAGTAACTTTAAGGGGTGCGCTAATACAATGGGCGATTTGGTTACTACACCATTTGTTGGCATTCCAGTGGAAGTGTGTTGCAGCTGCCGTTAGGTACCTTTTAGTGTTTTGTATGAAAACAGGCCTTTTTGTTGCCTGTTCAGGCAAACACAGGCACAAGACGTTAAATAATGCTATTCTAGCAACAAGCAACAGAAGGAACCAACTGTTCTTTTGCAGTTGACGCGCTACATTTCACAGCGTTGCGCTGCAATTCGCTGTTGTATTGTATTGTAATAGGCACAGGTAAAACTTGACGCAGTGTACATGGCTATTCACGTAGGTGTCTCCTTAGGAAAGTGAGTCTATAGTAGTCTTAAAGCGCGTGTTCATTGGGAAAATGAATTCATCTTTATGATTATCGATTTATCTCCCTCCCTCCCTCCCCCCAATTTCTATCTTTTTTGAGCCAACTATCCGCCAGCTTTAATTCTTCCAACTCATTCGACGATTTGCTCTTAAAATTAAGCTTTTCGAATCTCCAATCTACTTAATGTACTATCCGTTAATTGGGCTTATTAATTTCACATCTTGTAAGTAACGAAGTTAGCAGAATACTGGAAGCTGATTGGCCGATTTATCTCGTACAGTTTGACTACTAATTTAAAGTTACTTTCCAATTAATGGATTAAAATTGAAGTAAGAATGGATTGGGCTTTAAATAAGGTGATATACAATTTTTACACTCGTTATTACTTGCTACACGGTTGGGTGATATTACTGAATGACAGGAAATTTCAATAGGTCTAAAGGAGAATAGAATTAAAAAGACGTCATTATTCCATAAATTAATTAATTAAGTTCAAGTAACTCCAATGTTCTGTAGGTAATTTTAAAACTACTTAGGGTCCACTAATTGAATTGCACTCTCAAGTTATTAGAAGTGAATTCTGCTGATGTATTTATTGCTTTCTAAGCACCAATAGAGAAAAATACTTAATCTATATGCTGGCTATTTCAATACCCTGTTATTCAGACCGAAAATCTACCACATTGAACTGCGATGGATTTTTCAGAATACTATGGATAGATCAACTCTCAATGGAAATTCATCTCGATGTCTTAATAGCGTTCAATTAACTCTGTGGGCAAAAGAAAAATTTCTAATTTAAATTTAGCCATTTCCTTTTTTATCGTTTGTCACCGGTGCTATTTTTGTCCAATTTACCACCAAAGTTTTATTATAACGAGAAGATTTGTTTAGCATTTCTATTTGATAGCCTGATTTTCAAGTAAATGTGAATATGCACAACAATTGAAGAGCGAGAGTGCTTCTTGATAGAGCTGTGCTCTCAAAGTAATTTTGTCAATTAAACGAAGGATACTAGAACTATAAAAACATATTTAAACTCAAAAAATTCTTTGTTATATATATATATATATATGCACGTTCCATTTAACATATTTGAGAACTCTTAAACTAGAACGAAGCACTTAATAGGATTTAAAAGAGCAATCGACGTGTCAGACCCTAGGAGAATCCTAATTCAATGAGTTTCGGGTAATAATTCAATAACACAATAGCAAGCCATAAAAACCCTGGCTGAATTGAATGACTATTATTCGAAGTCCCGTGCCCCCCATTTCACATTGCCAACCCATGTCTTACTCGGAATTATCAGATGTGACTTTTCATAGAATTGCTGCAAATGCTAAGATGGGCAAAAAATGTTTTCGTGACAAAAAAAGTCCAATTTGGAGTGAATATCAAATTGAAATGGCTATTAAAAGACCTTGCTGAGACCTTCTCTTCAATCTACTGGAATATTTTTACTTTTATTTGCTCTTAACCTGAAATAAATTGGTTTTTTGTTTGTATAAACCATGCAATCATTTAAATTTAGTCTCAAGAAACGTGCTTATGCCTTTTTTAATTCATTATTAATAAATTAAAATACTTCATTGAAACCAGTGGACAGGAAGTCGGTAAGGCCTTGGGCTTTGCCAGTTAGTATTTTAGTTGAACATAAGCTGGGAGCAATAAAGCCAGATGTGGTTTCTACTCTCTGAGGTGTGACATATGGAAGACTTCATGTTATAATGACTTCCCATCGCATAAACTTGTTAGCCCAGAAGGGTGAAATATCCGGAAATACGTAAGTTTGTTGAAGGAGAGTTTCTGATTTCAAGTTGATACGCCGGGTCCATACCGAGAGATAAGTCTTCCACTTTCACATAGCCTTTAAAAGTGCTACATCGAATCTCGGTCAAGCTGACTTAAGATGTTAATTATTGAAAGTAAAATTGGCATAACAATGAATGGTACATGCTTTTATGACAGCACTTTGAAGAAAACAGATTAAAATTTTAATTCTAGCAAATTGCAACATTAGAGGGTGGAATTGTTTAGGTGCGATGGAAAGCGTAGCATAACTGGTAAAAGTAAAATAAATGACTATTTATTCTACCTGGGGTGCACTATAGACTTACTTCCACGTGCTGCACCCTGGGCAACTTATACCCTTGTGGCAAAAACGTCTATAAACAGGCAGTTGACTTCTGACTTCAAACTACTATGGACCGACTATTTGTCATATTCGACCCCTTCCACAGTACTCATCTTACCTTTTCTATGCCTTTGTATCTGTCTGTCTCTTTTAAAGCTGTGAATCACTCTTCTGTTCCCCCTCTCGACTTTTTGTGAATTTGATGTTCCTTCCCTCTATGAAGCTAGAAATCAACTAAAGGGTTATTGATAACTTTCATAAAGCCTGAAATTTGATATAAATAAATAGATAATTCTACTTCCAAGTAGCGCTTAAATAAAATAAAAAATTTAGGATTTGGAATACAATTTGAATGCTACATTAATAAGTATAATGCTTCCGCATTTCAATAGAATCACTCCAAATTTATGTTTACTTTCACATCAGATCTGTTAAATAGCTAAAATTCAGACAAAGAAATGTAAAATTAACTGAAATAATATTATCCGCTTATTTTAATTAAACCGCTTTGTTCCTGAGCCTTGATACCTAATTTGTTGTTAGGCATAAAAATGGCAAATTTTAATTAAAAAATATTCACTTTGATTTATTTACTAAGTCTTGGTTATATCTAATCATAGTTATTAAAATACACGCAAAATATGTTTTTAGATGGGGAAATTTTAGATGATCCAAGCATTTACTTTCTTCTGTATTTTTCGCCAGGCCGAATAAACCACAAAACCATTTCTTCCTATAACATCTGGCCAGAAACATAAGCCATATGGCAGAAAAATTTTTTGCACAAATATTTATCTGAAAATCAACAAAAAAGTAACGAAGAGCATGAAGATACTGACATAAATGCGAGATATTGATTTTCAACATATGACTTTAATACGAGTCTATCGATTTTCATTTACAAATCGTGAAACATATTTATATTAAAGCTAAGTGCTTGAAATGGGAAATGCTTCAAGTAAAAAGAGCAAACGAAAACTTTCAAATAAGAAGAAAGAAACAGGACAAAATCCTAACGCAGAAATTGGTATTCAATGCGCCCTAATAATTCCAGCAAATAGGCAAGATTTTCTTCATCTGAAAGGGGGACAGTCATCAAAAAAGACTCAAGTAGACATAAAGCCATGGCTTGAATCTCGATCTACTTCAATAACTCCTTTAAAAAGTCATCACAATTATCCAATTTCTCCAAATGAAGGAGTTTACCAAGCAAGCATTTCAAATATAAACCACAAAGATTCCTCGCAAGCATACGCAAGGAAAAAAACTGATGCTATTCCCGAATTATGTCCACTGACGACGGAGTATCTAAAGAACTTTGATCTGACTAGGGTGAGACAGGCGCCATCAAAGTGGATCCATCCTGCTCCACATATGGACGTTTTCTCTGCCACGCAAAACCACAATTTCATTTGGCAAGCACCATCGGGACCTGTGGGCAACGTCGAAAAGTCCTCAAAGATAATTTTTCTTAGAAAAGCGAAATCTTGGCACGATTACCTGAATCAAAACAAAAATTGTGATGGAAAACGTTAGGGATTCGGCCTAATATTACCTGCGCTATAAGTTACAACCAACTTAAGGAAATTGTGGAGATAATAAAATTTCTAAAGGTTGTAAAACAGAGCCATCCAACAAAACTTCTTTGTGAACATGAGGCAAACAACAGTGAAAATCTATCTATGTATTCCAATCCGAGCTGATCTTCAATCGCTCGATCCGAATATTGAAATGCACAATATCCTGTAAATATTTTTGCTTATTCATATTACAGAAACTTTGTTTGCTTTTGCTAATCTTATTGGATTTGATTCAGTCAAATGTAAAATACGTATTCACAAACATTTTAATGAAAAATTGTATAAACGACTAATTGTTGATCTTTCTTGAGTTGCTTTCCTATTGAGAAATCCTTAAGTTCATTATTGATTTTATGTAAAATACTTTAGATATGATTTAATTTAAATACCCATTTATAAATAATTGCTAGATTATAATTTGTTTCAACCTAAAGTGACCCTAATGGCCTTTAACCCTTTAACGCCCGAAATGTTTGTTTTTGGGAATTAAACCCGACCGCACTCGCACGTGTCTCACAGCAGCAGACTGATGTCGCCGACGTGATGAGTTTTGGTGGGGGCATCATGCGAAGGCTATAGACACGTATTGATCATGTTGCAAATACCAATAGAGCCTTCTGCTACGGGTCTAGTACCAATGGAGCTCATTGTGAAAGAGAACTGCACGGTCCAACTGAGAGTTAAACGGTTAATCGTACAATTAATTTCAATCTAGTTTTGATTGATGCTCAATTAACTTTTTGCTTCGTGTAAATTTTTCATCATTAGGATCTCCATTAGCATCTCGATGGGCAAGGTTTCTTGAGGCTCAACTTTTGTTTTAAGTTAGTTAGTTTAAATACATATATTACTAAAATAGCGTCTCAAAAGGAAATCAGAGTTAGAAAAGATTGAATTGNTGGTGCGCCCTGGGCAACGTATATTCATACATCAAAAGAAGTCTATTTACTGGCAGTTGACTTCTCACTTTAAACTACCATGACCCCACTGTATGTCATATTCCCCCACTTCCACAGTACTCACCTCACCTTTTTTCTCCCTTTTCTACCTTCGTCTCTGAAACACTCTTCTGTGCCCCCCCCCCCCCCCCCCNTCCCGACTTTTTTTCACTAGGATGTTCCTTCTCCTCTGCAAAGCCTGAAGTCAACTAAAAGGCTAATAATAACCATCAAAACGCCTGCCATTTAATATAATAAAAACTGTACCACCTATCTATCACCCCTCCCCCCTCCCCACCGCAGGGCTGAATCGCCTAAGCTAGAGATGGTCATAAACACAATTAACCAAACTATTTTAAGAATTTCGCCTTTGTAGCGCAAGCTGTTTGGCAAATTTGATATTGTTGAATCAAAATAAAAGCAACTATATTCAAGGTGGAAATGGCGATCGAATAAAGGAGTTAGTTTTGAGTTTATCGTTCGACACAGGTCGTTTTACAAGTTTTCGTGAAATTGGATTAATGTAATCACTATAAACAAATACGAATTCATTAAAATGTAAGCATGGTTGAAATAAATTAGCTTGATTTCAACTAGAATGAACTCTGCTATTTAAAGTATGTTAGCTAGTATGAAAAAGAGTACACTGAAATTGAGACAAAACTGCTCCCCCAACCAATCAATTAGCCAAACGAACACAGGATATTGAAAGGCTAAGCTCCCTCAAGAAGCTGCTGAAATTTGGAGGAAGGAATCCACGAATTATATCTCATTCGTGAAATTCGAAAACATCTGAGTCAAGACTCCGATTCAACTTTCAGACGCTAGCATTCGGTATTCTTGAATTGACGTAGATAATGTTAATAAAACTTGTAACTATAATGTTGGTTTGTGCAAAATACTACCGATTGACAATAAACTGGTACAAAGATGTCTGCATATTATCAGTTTAGAGTTCAATTTGTGTAGGGAGACGGGGAGTGTCATTTAACACTCATCATACACACAGAGGGAAAGGATTTTAGGATCACCCTAACTCAGAAAATCGATTTCTTCAAAGCCCCTGGGATTTCACGAGCCAAAGAGCATTTTCAGATCACTACAAAGCATAATTTGAAAATTATGCGAAATCAGTTCTAATTATTTAAAACGGATGTTTCGAGGTTGGCGTGAAGGGCATGATCAAAGGACACCCCCCCCCCCACATCACCGCCGATTAACAAAATAAAGTACAGCATTCTAAGAAGATAAAAGTTCAGTAAGACAGTGGGGGGGGGGGGAGGTATATCAGTGTGGTTATGCCATTGGATTTTCTATCTGATATGATTGCATAACTACGTGACAACACTTAATCTGTTTAATAAAACTCTAATGCGAAGAGGAATAAGTTGAGTGACCTATAACTTGGTTATTACGAATTTCGATATTATGACATGAAGGAGGCGTTGTTAAGTAAACGGAAAACAAAAATGTACACCTGTTCTAAAGACAAGCGATAGAAACGAGAAATTTGGCTTTAAATAATTTGATTGATAAAGTTAATGAATGCAT